GAATAAGATGTTGATTATGAGCAACCTAGTTCTGGTACTCCATATATACAGTCACACATCCAACAATACCTGTGGAAGATCTTCTGCAGAAACTGTTCATGTTCTACCCTTTCTCAACTTGGTATATAAACATAAAAGGCAGAGCACATAAACATTTTAACATATAAAAGGCATTTCAGGCTAGCTTCCAATCATGTGGTAGCGGTCTCAGGAAACTTTATTCAAATAGCAATTTCAGAGCTACCCTACTGAGACCTGAGTTAGTTTTAGAGGACTTTGTGATGCATAATACTTGATGAAGCAATGGTCTCAGAGCTCATGAAGGTCTAACTGGCTGACAGCAGGAGTTAAGTATACAGATGCCAGTGATTTTCATAAACCAGATTTCTTGAAATCCAACAAGAAAATCAGAGTGAGCATGGTTGAGGATGATCTGCAAGAGAATCAAGCTGAGTTAATGATCTATTCCACTACCTAAGTGTATATGTGAGAGCCCTTTCTGCTGCTGCTAAGATTTCTCACAAGGCAGTGACAGGCATGCCATCATGAAGAGGTCCACACAGAAAAAGTTAAGACAGAGAAGACATTGGGACTCACAGTTGTACATGTATATGGACCTTGAACCTGGTCTCATAGCTTAAACACAGCCAAATATTCTGACTCCCCAACAGTCTTGGCTATGAATGATGGCAAATTCAGGATTATAACTTCCTGCTTGTTTCTAAAAGCTGTTTTTAGGATTAGTATGAGGGGATACATTAGCCTCATGAAAAATATGTATCTTGGTCTGTATGTAGTGTTCCTGTTACAGTTAGGACAGAGAGGGAACTTGGCAGATGAACTTCTGACAAGTAGATTTAATGTATCTGTTTCATAAGTTGATTACTTCTGACAAAGAGGAAAAGGGAAACTTAATTTGGCACGGCATGCATGCCTGCATCGTTCCACTGCCCTAACTTAGTGCTGCCTAAAATCTTGTTTTGGTGGGCATTGCCAGAACTAGAACTGGCAGGATGTCAAAAAACTTCCAGAAACAGCTTAACCAAATAAAATCAGCTGACCTGTGGAGATGTGAAATGCACATTTAGAAACACCCAGAGCTGGAATGTAGGTGAGGCTAAGTACAGGAATTCCAGGGTTATGTGAATATCTAACAACAACATGAATATCACCAATAAGGACATCTATAAATAACAGTATTTTTATTTTTAAGTAAATCTGAATTTCTAAACCTCTTGAAATATTAACTCAGGACTCCCAAATTCACTAAAGTAGGTAGCTAAGGATTTTTAATCTTATTTTTACTGCTGGGTAAACTGAGGCAGAGAAGTTCAGTGACTTACCCAAGGCCACAGAGGGAGTCACTGTCAGAGCCGGGATAAGAGCTCAGGAGTTTCTGGCTCCCAGTCCCAAGCTCAGACCACTAGACCATGGCCTCAGGACATTTCCAGCTGGTCTTCAGTCTAAAAAAAAGTAAATTCTCAAGTATGTTACAAATATGTAACATATAAATATATTTCTTTTTACTTTGAATGTAATAATGAGAACACATTGCTCGTAAGTCAATGATGAAAAGCAAACCAGTACTTTTTATCTGAGTTACCTTTATCACACATATGTGTATGATAAAGCTCTGCAGAAAAATCTTAATTTCACTTGCAGCCAATACAAATAGCTGTTGTATTTTTCAGGGTAAGGAACAAATTGCCTTTCCAACCCAGCCAGCATGTCATTTATATTAATGGTGAGGAATGCTAAGTTGCTCTGTGTGTAAGTAAACTCTATTAAGAAAGTCATGTCCCTTGGTGAAGCTAGATCCTTAGTAAATTCTGCTAGCTAAGCACTGAGCTCCATGTCAGAAAAATCACACCTTTTATCCACTGTGAGCTCTCTCTTAGCTTCTTCATACTCCTTAATTTCCCACTTCAGCTAATTTAGCAGTAAAACCGCAGAGGTTTTAAAAGGTTTGCTACTGAGGAACTGGCGCATGAATGTTCTGTTAAGCTCCATCCATTGAAATCACATCATGTAGAAGAAAGAATTAATTAATTAGCAATTAGGTAGTGATGGATCATTGACAACATATATATACTTTGGTGCTAAAATTAATCTCCCCTCTAAAGCAAATACTTTGTGTATCTTCTCATCTATATACTGGCAAATTTTACACTTTAAATATAAATGGACGGGCCCTTCAGCAATATCTCTTTAAAAAAAAGGCATATATTCTGACACTATTGAAACTACATACTCTTTTAAAAAATCATACAGCTTCATTTAAAAAAAAATTGAAAGATTAATGAGAATAGCAAAAAGAAAATAAATTTTTAAGAAGGTAGGTGATTTTAAAGTGACTGTAAGGACTTTTGTTATATGAAAGTACTGAGTACGTTGAAAGTGCTAACAATTGTGTAGTATTCTCTTGTTATCTTCTTTTACAAGTTGCCATATTGTTTCCTTGTATTGACAGTCAGCTTCTTAATACATAGATTGGCAGTTAGCCCAGTCAATACTCAATTCTAAAAGCCTCTTAGCAGATGAAAAATCTTTGGTTCATTCACACCTTGTAGAAAGGATGACAGGGCAGAAGTGACATCCAGATCCATTTAGAGTATAATCTGAGTCTGATTTTCCTTTGCCTTGCACCTTGTGTAGTCATTTATAGCTGTGCAAAGTGAGCACAAAATGGATATAAACTACTATTACCCATGTGAGGAGAGTATTCTGATTTGGTTGCATTATTTCCAGAGGTGATCACAAAAAGTGCCAGGCAGTGAAAAAATCTGTCTCTACATAAAAAGTGTAAACAATTACGACACAAAGCACAAAGTAGCAGTAGTGCTTTCCAAACAATTTGCAGAAATTGCACTTTTGCTTTAGAGAAATAGGTATTTTCATTTGCTCTATACTTGGTATTTCCATAGAGAAAATACTAAATGTTAAACTAATTTACAGAAAACAATTCCTATTTTTTCTGTTTTTTGGTAGAAACATATTTAACTGTGAGTCCTAAACAATATTCTCACATAAGGAAGAACATATTTAACTGTGAGTCCTAAACAATATTCTCACATAAGGAGAAGCGGAGGAGCTGATGTCCTACATAGGATCTCCACTAGTTCTATCTTTCCACGCGCTACTTCTAAACCCAGTACCTAAAAAGTTACACTTGCACACAACCTCCTGGAATCAATGAGAAAACTGGTATTACCACAACAGCTGGTCTCAGTCCATCAGAGTTCAATACTGTTCTGGTTTTAGTATGGGTGGCAAATTATTGTCTCAGCATTTACCAAACAGTAATATCTCTGCTATGTGATCTACCACCTCTACGATAATGCAAGACCTACTGCCAAGTATCTTCAAGATACAAACTAATATTAGCAGGAAAGGCCTGCAAATATTACATTAACAAATGTGTGTTAACAAAATTGATAGTTAACAAATTAAGGACCTAATCTGGCTTTTGCTGGTGATGTGGTCAAGAATTATTCCTACTTAATAACAGACATTTTGTTTATAGCAATTAATTCAATAAGTTTGGACATTTATTTTCCCATACTATCTGGTGGCCATTTTTCTGGCCCTTCCCAGCCAGAAACCCTTCATGTTACACCTAGATGCCATGATAGGCCTGGCAACTCAAGTGCGTTAATTAGGAGCAGATATAGAAATTACTTGATTGCATCAGCAGCTGTTGACCTAAGAGTACTGCTACAGTAAATAATGTCTCTTTGTGTTTCTGTTAGAAAATTTATTTCTTTTTAATCATAGCCATGAACCTCACAGAGTCATCCTAAGACAGTTCCCAAATCTATTACCATTGTCCAAAGCTTATCCTTCAACCAAGCAGCTAAAGAACAAATGAATGTATTTTTTTGTTCTTAATATTCTAGTAATACTGTATTATTACTGGAATAATACCCCAAGACTGGGGTTTCTTGGGTGCTTTTTTCAGGTTTTTTTTTTCCCCTTATCTTTTTTTCCTGCTTCCCCTTCTGGATTCAGTGCTCCTTTAAGTATTTTGAGTTGCTAGTCTGGTTTGACTGAAAAGTACTGTGTGTTTGTTGTGCATCTGTAGTGTGATACCAACTGTTGAAGACTGCTTGATGTTAGATGAGGGCTTATGCTCAGAGCTGTTCTACAGTTGGCTCTCTGGCAGAATCTCTCCTCACCAATAACAATGATGTCTCTGTGTGGGGGAGAGTCTGTTTTATAATACTACGCTTGCCATGGACTTAATTGCACTGATAGGGTATGATTATGATTTCATTTACGTTAATCAAAATCATGAGTCATTCCATTCATTTCAATAGCATTAAAGAGCTATACAGACAAGGAAGAATTCAGAATCAGGCTTCTGGTGTTTAATCTGAAAGGATATCTGAATCACTTCATTAAGGATAGATACTGAAGGATAGATCTGTTTACTTTGCATTACTCAGTCATGCCATTAGCATAAAACATCAAATAAAGAACTATAATGACAGCTGGCAATGTGTCACAGTACATGGGTTTTCTGTGTATCGCAGGTACAGCAAATACCCATGAATTAACAAGATTTAAGATAATATTTCAAGTATGACAAAGGTACCGTATTAGGTCTCCTTGCCCTTGGAAGTTGGCAGTAATGTTTCAAAAGCTTATTTCTTTCCTTTGTTTTTTTATGTCACTCTTACATAATTTGAATGCAAAAGATCAAAAGGCAAACAATATAAGTAGAAGTAAGACCTCAGAGACTGCGTTAAGTTTTATAGTCCTGTCCATATGGAATATTATGCCTGATAAATACAGGAGCATCAAAAAATGTATCTCATAAAGCCCTATCAAATCTTCTTTCTTTTTTTTTTTTTAAATGAAAAACATGGAAATTTTCCAAAATATAGGCATTCTAAAACAATAAAAGGTTTTGTACTGCAGTCTGTCTCCTGCTCAGACAGACAAATTGTGCAGGGAATGATGGGCCTTAATTTAGTCCTCACTGATAAGTAGTTTTAAGACTAAATATTCTTGAAAATGCACTTCTGTAAATTACACTCAAGCTCCATGTAAATCTAAAAAACAAGATTATAGGGGGGAAATCATTTCAAGAGGTGTAGCAAGCTATCAGAGTATTGCTGTATTATATGTCTTCACATATTTTCCATTTCTGAAGTCAAAGAATTATTAGTATTTGAGAACATTTTCTAGAAATCTAGATATGTTAAAGGCCCTAGAAACTATTACTACCATATATACTGTCAGCTTCACCACAAGCACATGCCCCAAGACACCAAATCAGAGTAGAGTGTTTTATCAGCAAGCCAGGACCAAAAGGAATTTGAAAGAAGGGATCTTTTACTATGTTTTCTATAGGTCTCACTGATTGTCTCGCTGAAAACTAAAGATCTACCTGTGCAATTTGCTTTTCCAGTACACTGGGAATAGCAAAAAATATTTTCTCCCCAATTCCCAATGACAGCTCTCTTTTCAACCTGCTAGACCTGTGTTCAGTTTTATACCCTACACTTCCTCAGCATAAGAAAATTTTTCTACAGCAAAGCAATAAGATCCTGTCTTCAGGCTGAATACAAACATTAGTTAAACCACTCGTGCCTTTTAAGAAAACCTTGATGTAATTTCCACGCTTTGTAACTGTGGGAATTACACATTTTTCCTACCTTTGTGATAACATTGCTGTGTATTTCACTAATCACACTTGGGCATACAGCTTAATTATAAGGCAACAGACTTTATATATCTGTGCCACAATTACAGTTAGAAATCTCACTCTTTATTTTTCAATAACCTAAAGTAAATGAGAAACTGAAGAAATATAGAACAGAGAAGTGACCTACCGTGGTTGTCTTTATCCGTCCTCCGGGTTGTGTACAGGTCCAGCCTGATTTATTGATTAGCAGATCACAGCCTTCTCCTTCTAAACATGGAAGCATTTCACACCACTGTTTTGTTTTGATAATTCGTGCTATGGAACAGAAATGAAAAAAAAAACACAACTAAAAACAATTGGCAGGAGAATTCACTTTTCACTTATCTCTAAACACTTTCTCATTTGAGTTGTCTATTTTCATCATCTGATAATGCAGCCATAGGTTATGATGTAGACAGCCCTAGGCAATTTACAAAATTATTTACACCACCTGCTGTGCCAAAAAATTTCATAATAAAACTAAAATTTAAAAAACAACAAAACAAAAGACAGCTCTGTTATAAATTGAAAGAAAATAGAAGTCAGCTAATTTTCAAATTCTGTGCTCCTTACAGTAAAGAAAATATTGTTGGAGAGGGGCTAATAAATGAAGATTTACTATCCTAACTAATCATTATGGTAGCCTAAAAGTGACCTACAACTAGGATTCATTGTGTTAGTCTCTGTACACTCCTGAGTAGACACTCCTTATCCCAAAGTGCTTACAGTGTAAATAGATATGAGACACACTGGAGAGAGAAAAGCTATAATAAACTGGTAGAGGGGTCAACATAATGACAACAATTGTGAAACTCTGTGATACTTGCAATGGTAGGGGCATAGTTAGGGGCAGGAACGAGGAACATAAGAAGGGCAGGTGCTGAATGAAGTAAAGGTTGGGAAATCATGGCAAAGGAGACAATAAGCAGAGGGAAAAGATTGGAACAAATACCCTATTACCCTATTAATACGAGAGAAAGGAAGTCTAGTCAGGAAGGCCCCTAACTGTCTGAAAAGTCATGCTGTGTGTGCTCTGTGGCTCCTCTTAACACTTGCGTCTCTGGTAAGGTAGTTCTGCAGAATTTCCTCAAGGTCACACACAGCAAGTTGTCTTGGAACAACAGAGCTCTGACTGCACTAAACTAGATGCACAGGAGCTGTAGGGAGAAATTTTTATTCAAGGCAGGGAGAAAGGGCGCTTTAATTCCTGTAGACTTCATTCTGGATTATAATAATATTTTTGAGTTCACCTCTGTAGTATCTGGGTTCCTTCTCATAGAATATTAAGCAATATGACTAATATCTAATATGTTGTCATTCTTTCACTCTATAGGCCAAATTGTAGGGCGGAGTGTTAGTTTGGGACATTTTTTATAAAATACATATACAGAGATGCACTCGCTTACATGGTGCCATATACTTGTCCTAAACAAGGTAAGGCCCCCCCAGACAATCTGTCTTTTACTCAGACTGTAAGGCTTGCAGTCCACAGAAAATGGTCCTCAGTTCCTTCAGAGATCACCTCGGCAATCCTGGGCTAGACTATAAGAAAGCTACACCCCCTCAATTTGTACATAACTCTCCTAGGATTCAAGGGCAGAATTACATGGTGCCATATACTTGTCCTAAACAAGGTAAGGCCCCCCCAGACAATCTGTCTTTTACTCAGACTGTAAGGCTTGCAGTCCACAGAAAATGGTCCTCAGTTCCTTCAGAGATCACCTCGGCAATCCTGGGCTAGACTATAAGAAAGCTACACCCCCTCAATTTGTACATAACTCTCCTAGGATTCAAGGGCAGAACAAGTTCCACATACAGGGACGCAGATCACAGAATCACAGAATCACAGAATCACAGAATAGTAGGGG